ACATTTGCATATTCAGAGATCCTGTAATATTTAATGAGGTAGAAGGAGTAGATGTCTTTTAAGGATTTTTATGTGGATATTATACAGTTTTTTGTGGAAAATATAAGACAATTGTATATGTCTCAATGCTTGTCTGAGGGGATCTTTAAATTAACAGGGAAACTGAGTTTTATTGATGCCAATTTGAGTTATTTATTGCTTGAAACAAAAACTTTCCATTGTTACAGATTATTTTTGTTTTATTGATCTTAGTGTCTGAAACACCTAAGCTTCAGACTAACAAATTCATATTCAGGTCCTTTCAATCTGTCACCCATTCTTTCCTACGACTGCCTCAGAGCCTTTGAATCCTCTTAATTCATCGTAAGAGGATTTCACCATAGATTAAAGTAGACTCATACAGGAACAGCCAACTCGCTCTTTTGGTTCGGCAAAACAACCCTTCCAAATCCTGCTTTCCAGTAAGTCTCTGAGCTCTGGCTCCAGATAATTGGCCCTGAAGGAGGAAGTAGAATGAGACGTCTTTTTTTAGTCTACTTGGAGTTTATAAAATAAAAACTGGATTATCGTTCTTGCAAGGGAAACTGTGATCTAATGCATCTCTCTCATCCTCCTTCTCATCTTTCAATCATCTATTTTTCTTTCAGCATCCCCTTTTCTTCCTCTAGATTCTTTTCTTTGTCCCCGTCGCTCTGTATGCTAGTCTTTCCATTCCCATATATATACCCCCCCTCCATTCTCTCTCTCTCACTCTCTGTGCACTTATGTCAGTAGGTTTCAAAAGAACTCCTATCCTTCCTTGTCAGAGCTCATTAAGCAGCAGCACAGCTGATTCAGGGTTAGTTTGGTTTATTGATCCCTAACGATCCCATTAAATGGTTCTGAGAGCTGCCGGGACCTGAGCGGCTGTAGGGCAGCAGAGGGGGTCATTGGAGGACTGCAGCTGGGCAAAGCTACTCCAGGGGCATCTGGGAGCTTTGGTCTTTTCAACAAGGGCCTCATTACAAGGCTTGCCTGCCTTCATTTCTTCCTGTTTCTCCGCTTAATCTCGGCAATCCAGTCGTCCTTTGTTACTGTGCTCTAGTTTTGTCTTTCTGTGACCACTGAAACCAATTGAGTCAATATACTTAAGGTACACAGCGTCAGTACGATAATTTACCATGATGTATAGCCCTAATGTATTCTATATGGCCAGTATCCATGCTGTAACAAGCAAACAAAGCAGGAAAAAACGATACAATGCAATTCTGTGGACCAAAGACAAACACTAATTCGACAGTCTCATATGAGTTATTGACAAAATCATTGGTTTAAAAGACCAAAGCTCCAAAATGTTTTCCTTTTTTTTTTCACTAGAGAACGAAACAGGAAAACATTTAATTGTATTCCTCCATCTACCGTATCTTTACCATGGGCAGGTTGGCACAGCTGGACTTGACCTCGTACTCTATGTAGGCCACCTCTCCTCTTCCCTCCACCCGGCCGTCTTGGGTGTAGCAGAGGTCTCGGGTGGAGTTGATGTGTCTGTCAAGGTCATCCAGTGGGTAAACGCACAGAGCCGAGGCATCCAAGGGGCTGTTGTTTGTGGAGCCGACGCGGGTGGAAAACACTCCCAGCAGATCCTCGCCTTCCCTGCCCACACCTTGGCCCACCTGTTGCAACAAATGCGTGGGAAAAACTCAGCAAAGTTAAAACACGGCCAGCATCAGTTTAACCTTGATGTGAACCAATTCCTTAAAGCCAGATTTGAAATTCACACTTAAAGAAGCTATATTTTGATTTGTTGCTCTCTGTAGGGCAAGTATTTTGGAGACAGAAGCATAGACACATTGAAAGTACCTGGGCAGCCTGCAGCAGGCTGTAAGTCCTGGAGGGAGAGGAAGGCGATCGGCAAACAAGGGGAACTTCCACATAGGAATAGTAGGAGGTGTCATCCAGGCATACTCTTGCGGCATAGGTCCGGTACTCCCTCGATGCTGACTTGATGTCACGGCGGTAAAACAAGAAGTACACATAAGTACGCCGTGTGAACGCCATCACAAAATGGTGGTCGTATTCTGACAGACGCCCGGCCACGGCCAGCTTAGCCGTCTCCTCGTAGGAAAAGATGGGTTCCGATGAAAGGTGGCGGGTGGAGATGGGTGGGTGGCTGGCTGTATAGCCCCTACCCACAAACATCACTGTCCTTTCCCCGCCACGAAGGCCCACCACCAGCCCCACAGTGGACACAGACGGATCATTGGCAGCAACATACTGCGTATCCACTGGCCTCTCGGTGGAGAAGAGGACCTTCTTGATGGATGCCAGGCTCCGTTTCTGGCAGGTGCCCTGGTGGATACTGCCGCAGGTGATCAACTCCAACACCTTTGGATCCACCAGCAGTAATTTGTTGTGATTACTGGTTCTCCTGGCCTGGGGACAGTTGAACTCAGTGACTGGGGGAAGGCAGTCTTTGCTGTCGCTCACAGGACCGGTCGTTTCCTCTTGGTCCAACCGTAGTCCGTCTGATCCGTCCAGCTGGAAGAGGTGGTCCCTGGCCCCCACGTACACCGTCCCCACGGAGGGGTCTGGGTGGAGCACCAGGTGCTGGAATTCAGTGTCATTACGGGAAAAACAAGGGTAGGAGTGACCATGGGCAGTAAAGATGATGAGGATGAGGAGCAAGAGCAGGGTGGAGTTTAGAGCCTTCCCATGTAGCATGGCAAATATTCTGTGGAAAAAAACAGCAGGGTTAGAGTCCCTCACAAGCAGATGTTTGAGGTTAAAATCAACATGTAATAAGACTTAAAGCCGCTTCTATATGGTTGAGTATAGTTTAAGAGTTTTAAGAGAGATTAGGTTTAGGTTGAGATAAATGCATTGAGAACCTCTTAAAAAGCTAAGCTAGCTTTCTTGCTAGCTCTTACTATTCAAAGCACATACACATTATTGATAATCACTTTAATCATGACAGAAATATATTTAAGGATAATGTCATGTTCTATATTTTACTTGTCATCAACAAACCTACTAAGAAGTTTTAACTGTATAGCCAAAGCCTGATGTATCTTATTTCACTGTGACATAGACCTCTACTGTTGATACTGGTTGATACATTCCTTCATTACCATGAACTCACACTGTAGATTATTGAGTCAGTCCCACATACACTGTCCTGGTAAGCGTAAATACTTGCTAGCGCATCCACCAAATCCATCCCCAGCAAAGGCACTATTTACTCTACTTTATTTACTATTTGAGTTATCGAGTCTTTTTTTGGATGGAAGTGTACATTTGAGATTTATGTCATTTTTCGATACACAAAGGTACTCTTTCTTGACAAAGGTGCTGCTTTCTTGAACAAATAAATATTATTTTGGTTATAAGTTAAGTTAAATATTCTACATGTTAAGTAATTTAACATATACGCTGCAAAACATTGTTATTGTAAATCACAGCGCACTCTGCTGGATATAATTTTCAGTGGCACTAATATATTACAACAATTGATCTGCATTATTTACCGGAAAAAATATTTTTCATATCAGTGAATATCAGATAACATATTCACCAACAATACGATACCAATATGTGTGCTATAGGCCAAAATTGTTCGATAATATCGGTCGGCCGGTATTATTCATTTGGGCCTGAGTGTCACAGACAAGTTTAAAAGCATTCACAGACAGACTAAAGCACTGTTGGTTTTGGTCTTTCCATGGGTTTTATTGATAAAAAACAAAAATATGACAATATAAACTGAGAGGCCTATCCTTTAAATGCAGCTTTCAAGGAAAAACATCTCACCATCTATGTTCTTTGTTAAACTGAAGACTTCCTTCTCCTTATCACCTGGAGTCATATCCCATTCCTTCCCTCTCTGTCTGCAACTGTTAGGGGATTATTCATCTGGAGAGAGAGGAGACAAAGAACATGGCATGACTAAGAGACAGACAGAAGCAACATTCAAGGTTCTTGTCTTGTCTCATCTTGTCTTAGGGTCATCAAAATGTCACAACATCTGGCATATGATTTCTCACACAGTGTTTATACCACTTATGTAGAGCGTATTCATTGAGAAACCACCACCAGCAGCAGCAGCAGCAGTAGCATCCCCTTTCAGCTGGAACAACAACTCTCATTTCCCATTTCCACAACCATCACTCAACACCTCTGAGGAGAGTGGTTTGTGGACAGTGAGAGCCTTTGCATTAGAGATAAAAACCCACTTTAATTATTGAACAGGTTTCTCAGACCTTTCACTGACCTCACTGAGAAAGGTCACACAGAAATAAATAAATAACTCCTTTACACCATAGTGTATCGAGCAAGCTTTAAACTGGAAATATGTAACAATTAGATCCACAGAATATAATTTACATACTACAACTGGGAAGTATTATTTATGCCTCAACACTCTGCATAAAGGCAGAGAAAGGAAATGTAAATAGTGTGAGATTGAGCTAAAAATGCAATATTGTGCGCCATTACCTTGCAATGTGAATAGATTACTAAGACATTAGACATGCAGTGCCATCTCACCTAACTGTCCACCCCCTGGGGCTGCAATCAGGACAAAGACGAGGGGGGTTGAAAGGGAGTAGACCAGGAAGCTGTGAGTGTGGGTGTGGATTTGTGTGCATGTTTGTGCGTGTGCACATAACCAAGGGCCATACAGGAGCAGGTGCATGTGTCTTAGTATGTGTCTGGTAAGTGGGGGAGTCTCAGGCGCCCTCTTCACTTATTCATGAGCAGAATAAGAAGTATAATAAGTAATAACGTACACGCCCACTGTCAAAGGTTTCAGTATGTATGTGTGTGAATGAAGAGTGGCCATTACAGTCTGTTAAACAGGACTGAAAATCCACACAGTCCTTTGAGACAGGAACTGTCTTTATGAAATATATATATAAAACAAACTCATTCTGTGTGCCTCATGTTTTATTGATCCAAATCTTCTAAAGCGCTTAGATACAAGTTCTCTTGTGCCACGTTGGTGGTGTGAATCTTTACGGGTGGTAATGTGGTCAGATTGGATGCTTGGGTCGGTCCACCACTCCGGTCTGTGATAAAGTAACCCAACAACTATTCCCTGGATTTCAATGAAATTCTGTACAGGCATTCATGCTCACCTCAGGATAACTGATAACTTTAGTAATCCCTTAAAGTTTCATTTAGCACCATCATCAACTTAAAATTAACCCAAAGTAACCCAAATAGTGAATTCAGTAAGTGCAAGACATTTGTGTCAATGGATGAATTTTAAGCAGATGATTTCCTGTTTAGGGAACTTTTTATACAATTCTCTGTCTGTATTATGTTTTTTTTTTATCATTTTTAACAATTACACATACTTACTACACATATTTAATAGGTTTCTTTTTTGACAAAAAGTGTTCTCTTGTCCCTGATGCTAGACTATTGTTTTTCTTATAAGACAATGTAAATTTCTTCACAGAAGTTAACCAAATGCAGAGATACAGGCCTACTGTTAGTTTTCTAGCAAAATCAAGAAGGCCTCGCGACACCTCATGAAGCTTTAGCTGAATATCTTTGGATTTCTGTACGGCCACAGAGCAGTTAGCATGGCTTTAGTCTTATCTGTCATAGATGTTAAAGCAAGACCATGTAACTATTTAGCAGCCACTGAGGCCATAAGGTACAATTACAGGATAATAGTAAATGTTAAAATACAACATAAAGCACAAGTTGAGATGAGTCACAAAGTCAGCAAGCAGCTTTACAACAATAATAAGCATCTTCAGTTTGCAGACATTAGCCACCATAAGCTACTGGTCCTGCCAGAACAAGTAAGGCTGTAGCAGGAAAGATTGTTCAATGAGGAAGGATGTGTTTTATTTCTTATGAATTTAATGTTTAATTTTTAAGAAGAAGCTTGTGTTATTTATCAAAAGCCTCACTTTACGATGGCTGAAGCTGGTGTGCTAGAATAAAAATTTCAGACATAAAATAGGACCATGAAGCCACTGACTACAGCAACGATGAAACTATGTATTTTTGTTTTCCAGTCGGGTGGAGTTAGATAATTTTACCACATCTAAAGCACATCTCCCTTTATTCAGGATTCATTTTCTTGAATAACAACTAAAAACAAGTACTTAGGCTAAAAAGGATGTTTTGGTGCCTCTGTAAGAGAGAGCCTGGGAACAACTCCAGACAAATTCTCACTGCTGCTCTGAGCAGGCGTCCTCACCTGCTCTTTGACCGGCCAACATGAAGCAGTCAACATATTTATAGCCTATGACGACCCCATCGCCATGGGAACTTCCTCTTACCAACCAGCAATGATGGCTTCCTACGAGCTACCATGAGCTCAGAGTGTGGTGTGGGACAGAGTGGATATGGAGGGGAAGAACAGAGGGATGAGAAATCCATTTGTGGTTAAAGAGGGGAAGTCCAAATTTAGATATGTCTTTCAACATCGGAAACCTTTTGGTGCTATTGAACAATTTCACTTAATTTATCAACTAAATGACCAATCTAACACATCATTCTATGTGTCAAAAAAAGTTGGGATTCATGGAAACTTCAGTTTTAACAATATGTCCTCTTTGTTTGTCATGGGTAGCCGTGTCTTGACAGTTTCCACATAAAAGTTGGTGTTTTCCACCTCCAACCGAAACAACTCTATGGGGATTTTTTTGTAACATACTAAATAGTCAGTAGTCATTATGCTTTTTAAGCTAATAACAAGCAAGTTCAGATCCTAGAGAGGTTCAACTTTTTTCACTACATCTGGTCTTTGCAATCGTCCACTAATATTCAGAGTGAAACATCTCCTTTCAGTCCTACTGTGGAAATGTTTGCTAGTAAAGCAAATCCCACCACCACCCTTTAGAGGAGCAGAGGGGTGGATTCTCTCATGCAACAATCTCCAGAGTTCATCAGTTGTGTCTGGTATGCAGCATGTTCGGCCATGGGGCACAGTCCAAAAACCTATAAATAACCTCTGGTAGACCATTAGACTGTCAGCTGAAATTGGGGAGGGGAAAGGGGGCTCCCAAAGAAACTATGGAGCAAATATTCACATAAAAGCAAAGATATAAATTGACTTCCTTGGAATTTTCGGGCTGTTGGGTTGGAAAAAGCCTCTGAAACAGGAGTCTGACTAAAACTCTCATCTTAAATCCAGGATGATGGTTTGTTTTCACTGCTGATGGCAGGGAGACCTACCCATCCCAATCAACAACACTAGTAAAGCAGTTTGTGTGTGTTGTGTGCGCCCACAAGTGTATTTAAAGACCTCCATAAACCTCTCCGAATGTGGTGTCATCAGTGAACTTTTGCCCTAACCATTCCTATCTGACTGCCTTTCTCTCTCTGTCCATGTTTATTAATCACTGAGAGAGTCTGCTGTGCAAGTTCATTTTTAAAGCTCCTAATGAGCCGTGACAGCCCACTGAACGCCTAAGACCCCATAAAATATGTGGGGTCAGCAGCACAGGGACAGTGGGGGACATTGGGCCCGGAGCCATGGAGCACTGCCTAGCATTGTTATGTTCTGGTGGGCTGGCTGGCGTCTCGCCCCGGGGCCCCAGACTGTGCAACACTATCATCTGTGGATCCCATCCAGTGAGTACAGTAGAGAGACTAGCAGAGTGTCTGCCTGAGTTCCACACGACTTTCACTGACCACACGCAGGCTACCAGTGAGAAGATACAGAACAGACACGGACAACGTTTGACAGTAAACACTTGGAATTGATTTAGAAGTAGGGAGTGGACAGAGTTAAGCTGAAACAAAAGCCTGAAAATGCAACTCTTGGTGCCTTTACAAGTGTTTTCTCCTACTTCTAAGGTGCAACTGATAGTGTAGACAACACAGGAGGGAAGCTGAAGAAAGACTTTTAAATCTTCGGTTTTCATTGACAGAATATATAATGGACAGAGCTTCCGGGTCTGAAAAGTGAAGCCAATGCAGAAATGTCTAACTTGAATTCTATGTAAAGGCCAGCAGGGGGCAGCTCCATTGGCTGCAATAAAAAATGATACCATGCAGTTTAATGGAGAAATGACCCGACTTCTCACTTGATTAGTTCTGAAAACAGTTTCCTAATGAGTTTATGATCTCAATCTCTAGTTTCAAGTCTTTTTCCAAACAGTATGATGTTCATTTAGTAAATTATGGTCCTATGTATAGACGATACAACAGAGTATGCTTTTGGGCGTGGCTACCTTGTAATTGACAGATCACTCTGAGTTAGTCCAGTTTAACACAAACTGTCAAACTAGGCAGTGCTAATTAAATATGAATCAATATTCTGTTACTGCGTTGACTATTTCTCACCTAAAATCCTTTCAGAAACAAATATATATACACAGTATATCATAGAAGTATTTTAGTGTACTGTTTAGCTGTAATATGAGATTGAATGTGACCAGGCGAGTTAAAACTACACAGCTAATGAGAGCAGCTCAACTCGCACTACATCACCTCCGCTAGCTCTGACAAACTGTCATGGCAACGACCATAGGTACTCCACAAACCAATGGGTAACATCACGACAGGTTCACACTTGGCTGTTTTTCCAGTAACACACTAGCAAAGATGTCTCCACTGCAAATGTGGATCGACACAATCCCCACTCTCTGTTACAATGAATGAAAGAATGCAAACAGGGCAATTGCACAGCAGTATTCTCCCTATTGAAAAACTGTTCTATAAGCAATCAAACTATATCACAAAGGGCACTCGGAGAGCGCAGACCCCCACCAAGGTGTTTTGTTTGTGCAGTAATGTTTGAGGTGGCTATTATATTATGTTATGCATGATGACTTTAGTTAATTTTGCCATTGACACCTCACAATATTAAAGCCTATACAATGAACTTTCATTTTGTGTTGATTCTGATGGTCCCTGTGGACAAAAGTAGTGTTTCAGCCTTGTTTCATTGA